GCATGGTGGCACACTCCTATAATCCCAACTATTCAGGAGGCTGAGGCAGGAGGATCTCAAGTTCAAAGCTAGCCTCAGCAACTTAGCAAGGCCCTGTCTCCAAAGAAAAAAATTTAAAAGGGATGGGGATGTGACTCAGTAGCTAAATGCCCCTGGGTTCAATCCCTGCAAAGGAAGGAAGGAAAGGAAGGAGGGATTATCTTTAGATACCCTTGACCTGTTTGTCCCTTGTGCAAATAAATACTTTAAAAATTTAAATCAATATGCCCTATATCAATTTTGGTCTATAAAAAAAAGGAAAAAGAAAAAGAAAAGGTACTAGTTTCATATTCCACTCCTAAATTGTTTTTATATTTTTAAGGTTTCAACCACATTTATGATATATATATTTATATTTTATTTATCGATTAATATATATTTATATTTTATTTATGATAAATGAACTTATTTATTTATCAAATTTATTTATTTATGATAATTAAATTTATTTGTTATATTTATTTACTTATTGATATACATTTATTGTCCTATTCATATCCAAAATTACAAGCAGAATAATAAAATTTTCTTAAAAACTTAAGGATTAACATTTTCAGCATACCTTTAAAGCAGTATTCAGTTTTTTTCAACAATAACTAGTTTTAACTGTCACTATTTCAGTGCTAAAGATGATTCTTTTTTAAAAAGTCAGGAATTCACCTTAATATAACAATAACTTTCTCTTAAACTCAGATGGATAAACACAGCTTATCTTAAAAGGTAAGGTATTCTCTTTTATTCTGTATTATTATTATTTATTATTCTTTATTTTCTAGAAGACATGTTATGAGACTTCATAATAACTCAGGAATAATTCATAAAGTTCAGATTAACAATATGAGAAATTGTTTTTAATCATGTATCCTGACAGGAAAAATATGCATGTGACATGCAATATGCCACAATGTAGCACAGCTAGCTTACAAAACCGCATATTAAGAACATATTAATGATGACCAAAAGAGAGGTGTAAAAATTAGGCCCTGGTTGGACATCTGGAAATTTGATTTGACAGATGCAGGCAGTTTGATCTTTCCAGAATTGGAATGTTCTCAATCACAGAGCCATCTACAAAATCTTTTGACAGAAAACTAAGTACATACCTCATCCACTATACTAATTAAAACTTTAAAAAAATGCACCACAGTTTAAGAGACGATATATGATTACAAGTAATCCAAAACAAATTTTTGACAACAGAAAATTATGTATAAAGAAGGTGGTATGAGATGTCAAAAAATTAACAGTTAATCAGTATTTAAAACAACCCAAATTTTTATAAAGTAGAAAATAAACAATGTAATAAATATGTAATATGACATAAAATGTCAAATAATTAATAGTTAATCAGTATTTGTAAAACTTGGAAGATATGGTACTCTCAGTTACCAGTCAGACCTGAGACACATTTGTTTACTTCATTTTATATATTTTTCTAAATCCTGGGGGCAAAGAAAGGAGAAAGACACACAAAAGTCCAAACCCTTGTAAATATGATTCTATTGGGCAAACAAATAACAAAAAAAAAAAAATTCAATTTCTGTTATCAATATATCTATCAAGAAAACAAAAGCTAATGGGAGTGTGGACAAAAACTAATCTCTTGAGTCACAAAGTATCAGAGCAGAGATTTAACTGATGAACCATGTGAAGTTCTGGAGCAGTGTTCACTTCAGTAAACATCATGTTAGCCCAGCCACAGAAATGTGCTTCCTCTGTTTGAGGGACAGCAAGCATTCATCTGTAGCTGAAGTAGAGATCAAAAGAGAATTTAAGATCAGAGATATGCAAGACAGGAGCCAGATCATCTAGGTCATGGTTAAAGAATTTGGATTTTACTGAACATAGAGCTGATTTAAGGTTTAGAAAAACCATTCCAGCTATGGTGAAGAAAACTGAACATGAAGCTACTGCTGTCATGAAAGAAAAATAATGAAGCCAACACAGTGAGTATGGGAGAAATGGTTCCATCAGGAATCTAAAAGAACAGAAGACCTAATTACCAATCCACTGGATACAGTCTGAGGAAAAGAAAAGACTGCTAATTGTGACTTGAGCAAACCCTAATAGTCAAACCTAGAAAGGCAAGATACAAATCACTAACGTCCCAACTTCTAAAGATTTTGGCTTTATCTGAAAAGCAGTAGAGTAGGGAGAAGAAAAAAGAGACTCCAGACATTTTGTTGATTTACCAAGCCAGCTTCTGCAGGCACACAGCAGACTCCTCAACTCTGTTTGAAAACTTGAGTCACCACTGATTACTTCTGCGGAGACTGGAAGTCTGCCTAGCAATCATAGATTAGGATTTCCTATGAAGTGCAAAGAATCCACGTTAAAGTTATTTATTGTTGAGACATCTGAGTGTAAATATATCTTTCTTCCCAACTCCTTTTCCTCTCAATCCCCTAAGAAACTACTAGGACCAATTACCTTGCCAACTTTTTGACCATCTAAACTAACTCAGTTTATCCCAATCATCGTTAGTCCTGCCAATGATAAACATTCCTTTGAGCAGCTATCCTCCTCTAAACTCAGTCTTAATCTGCACTCACCTCCTTGGCTGACTCAACTTCCCACTATTACACTCTATCCTATTTACTGTGCCCCAGAAGATTATTTTTTCATGGTTAACAAACCTCCTTCCCAGTCCTGTTCAAGGAACACTCTCTTTTGTCAATTACCTTGAACTTAAATGTGGCTCTCATTATAGCATATGCAGTACCACTCTTAAAAGGGAAGTGCCTCATTCTCCAAACCTTCATGTATTTTACATTCAAGAATACAGATATCCCCTAAAAAACAAATGCCAAATGTCTTCTTTGATATAAGGAGAGTAACTAAGAACAGAGTAGGGTCGAAGAGCATGAGAAGAAGATTAACATTAAACAGGGATGAGAGGTGGGAGGGAAAGGGAGAGAGAAGGGAAATTGCATGGAAATGGAAGGAGACCCTCAGAGTTATACAAAAGTACATACAAGAGGAAGTGAGGGGAAAGGGAAAAATAATACAAGGGGGACAAATGAATGTCAGTAGAGGGGGCAGAGAGAGAAGAGGGGAGGGGAGGGGAGGGGAGGGGGGATAGTAGAGGATAGGAAAGGCAGCAGAACACAACAGACACTAGTATGGCAATATGTAAATCAATGGATGTGTAACTGATGTAATTCTGCAATCTGTATATGGGGTAAAAATGGGAGCTCATAACCCACTTGAATCAAAGTGTGAAATATGATATATCAAGAACTATGTAATGTTTTGAACAGCCAACAATAAAAAATTAAAAAAAAAAAAAAGAAATCACACCTGGCTTACATCATAGTGGCAGCTGACTCAGGCAGAAACGAACACAAAGGCTGATGAACACATAGATGGGATATTGGTGTGATTCTGGAGACCTCCCCATGAACTACTTATCAATTAAAATGGTAACAGTGATCACTGTGCAGTGGAGAAACCCACAGGTCACCACGCTGTGCCTTCTGACTCATGTGATGAGAAGGCACGGCATCCTGTCTGTGGCATTCCTGCCAAGATTCCTGGCTTGAGTCTGGACAAGAAGAAGCTAATGGATCCAGCTAGGTCAAGGGACATCCCACACAAGGAAAGGCTTCCTGTCTGAAACTGTCGTCATGAAAGGCAAGAAAACACCTGAGTAAAAATGTAACCGTGATCCTGGATTGCATCATAAACCAGAAAGGAAAAAGGGGACATCTGGGGAGAGCTGGGAAAACTAAACAGGTCCTAAGGGTTACAAAGTAATGATGCAACAATGTCAGTGATCTGGGTAACTGAAATGAAGAGGGGTGAGTTGTACAAAAATATGTAAAACTGTTCTTAATGCATAAAGCCATTTTTATATGTTAAAAAAAAAAAGAATACAGATATCCATCAGACTGAACATGGTATAGCAGCACAATTTTGGAGAAATTCATAAATAACTCTAAATTCACAAAGAATAAAAACATATCAAAATGTTTTAAGGGGACTCACTCAAAAAACTAAAAATATATCCATAGAAGTAATGAAGTAATTATAAACTGATGTTGCAGAATACTTAATGTCTCCTGGGACTATCCATGTATGTACACTTAATTTAGTACTATGTAACATACAAGGCTGATTTGATTAAAGAAAAAAAAAGCGTGAAGCATATATACACAAAAATTTTAAAATAAAGTATACCAAAATGTTATCTCTAAGTGGTATAAATCAACTTTTTCTTTTTACACTTTTTCTATTTCCCTCAATTTCTCAATGTATTTTTATAACCAGAAAAAGGCCAAATATGCTTTTAAAAATCTATAATAATCATTTTAATAACATTTAATAATGATAACACAGCAAACATCCTCTTCAACAAAATTTACGTAGGCCATTTTAGACTTTTCATATCCTTGCTTTAATTGAAAAGCTTATTTCCAAGTCCTTTAAATGATTGCCTAGAACATCAAAGTCATCAGAAACAAAAACATAACTCAAAAAATCTCAATATTTTTTCTAAACATATCATCCACTTAAACAGTAATTCAGCAAAGAATGTAATCAGTCTCAGTTATTATGGTTTAGATGTGAGATGTTCCCCAAAAGCTCCCGTATTATTGCAAGAATATTCAGAGATAAAATAACTGAATTATAAGAGCTGCAAGCAACCTAATCAGTCCATCTGAGTTTGAATAAAGTTGCTGTAGGTAGGTGGGGCATGACTGAAAGAGGTGGGTAACTGAGGGCATGCATGGACAGGTTCATCTTCTCTGTAGTCCCTTCACCTCTCTTTCTTCTGCTTCCTGGCCCCCATGAGCACAGTAAACTCCCCTACCATGCCCTTCCATCATGATGCTCTGCCTCAGAATAAAGGTACAATGAACCCTGCCCACCATGGATTAAATCTCTGAAACTAAGTCAAAATATACTTTTCCTCCTGTAAGTTGTTCTTGTCAGGTGTTTTGAACACATCAACACAAAATGAGTGATACACGGTTCTGTTTGGAAACACGGGGAAAAGTCTGCGTGGTGTGTAGGAATGGACACTCAGAAGGACGTTCAACCCCCAAAGCAGCAGCCAATGATCTATATCTGTGGAGAATGTCACACAGAAAATGAAATAAAATCCAGGGATCCAATCAGATGCAGAGAATGTGGATACAGAATAATGTACAAGAAAAGAACTAAAAGATTGGTGGTTTTTGATGCTCGATGAAACATGGGAATTCAGAGGAGTGTCTTCCTTTGTATCTGGATTTGACCCTTGAATGTTTCTCGTTATTATACAGCTTTTCATTTAGCACACTTATCTTATGAATACAACTGTATACATATAATTTCATTTTCCAAGTCAAATTGTGTTTAGGTATCAGTAATTTGTGTAAAGATTGTGTAAATTAAATGACTTAATTTAATTTTATTGTATTATGTGATCAGACACAAAATGAAAAATTAAAATTGCTTCCCCAAATCACACTTTTAATTAAACACTTTTAGAAATGCAAGTTTCTAAAGTCCTGTAAAATTCTGATGAAAGAAGTTCCTTGGAAACATAATTATATGTTGTGAACTGTTGGTAAACTCTCTAGCATTATTTGGTACAGATTAAATTAGTCTACTTGCTCTCAGTATAAAGATATAAAAAAATTCAAAACTAGTAGGTAAAATCAGAAATGAATAGACATAAAGGAATAGCTGAGAATATGTAAAAACAAGTTGCTTCTTCACATATACAGGGTCATATGCATGCCTACCCTTCTGAAATAAGTTCTGTATAGAAAATTAGTCAAAGTGGAATAGATACTTGAGTAGAAGACTGAAAGATTAGAAGGAGCATTACTGGAATAGGGGAAAGAGCCAGTGTAAAAGCTATGGGGCAAACTGTGAACTTGCTTTGTTCCCACTTCAAAATGAAGCGCATGTGACTTACACTTCATGAAAGTGAGATAGTGGAAAAAGGTGAGGTTGCATTTTTGTCACTGGATGCCACCAAGAAAGCATTGTTAGAGTCTTCCTACTACCATCATCTCTAAATCAGAGTCCCCAGAGCACCTGAACATCTGCAGAAGCTATTCATCAAAGGGCTGAGCTTTGAAACAACTGATGAGAGTCTGAGATGCTATTTTGAGTAATCGGGAACACTCACGGACTGTGTGGTAATGAGAGACCCAAACATCAAGTGCTCCAGGAGCTTTGGGTTTGTCACTTATGCCACTGTGGAGGAAGTGGACACAGCCATGAGTGCAGGACCACACAAGATACATGAAAGAGATGTGGAACCAAAGAGAGCTGTCCCAAGAGAAGATTTTCAAAGACCATGGGCATACTTAACTGTGTAAAAGACCTTTGTTGGTGGCATTAAAGAAGTCACTGAAGAACATCACATGAGATTATTGTGAACAGTTTGAGAAAACTGAAGTTACTGAAATCACGACTGACTGAGACAGTGAAAAGACGAGGGCCTTTGCTTTTGTACCTTTGGATGACCATTACTGTGGATAAGATTGTCGTTCAGAAATACCATACTGTGAATGGCCACAACTGAAGTGATGAAAGCCCTGTCAAAGCAAAAGATGGCTAGTGTTTAATTTAGCCAAAGAAGTCCAAGTCTTGGAAACTTTGGTGGTTGTAGAGGTGTAGAAATGACAGTTTTGGTCTTGGAGAAAACTTGAGTGGTTGTGTTGATTTTGGTGGCAGTGGGGATGGCTACAATGGATTTGGTAATGATGGAACCAATTTTGGAGGTGGTGGAAGCTCATTTAATTATTTTGGCAGTTACAACAATGAGTTATCAAATTTTGGACCCACCAAGGGTGGAAACTGGAGGCAGAATCTCTGGACTCCTTGGTGTTAGAGGCCAATAGTTTGCTAAATCACAAAACCAAGGTGGCTATGGTGGTTCCAGCAATAGCAGGAGCTATGACAGTGGTAGAAGGTTTTACTACTGCCAGGAAACAGCAGGACAGGAGAGCCAGAGAAGTGACAGGGAAGCTACAGCTACAGATTTGTGAACTTATCTAAGCACAGTGGTAGCAGGGCCTCGCTGCAACAAAGAAGAAATGATTTAGACAGTACTCATATGTATAGACAAAAAAACTTGACTGTATTTGTGATAAATTGTATAACAGGTCATCTTAGTTTCTGTTCTGTGGAAAGTGTAAAGTATTCTATCAAAGATTTTAATGTAGACTTTTTTTCCCCCGCCCATGCTGTTGATTGCTAAATGTTAGTCTGATCATGATACTGAATAAATGTGTCTTTAAAAAAAAAAAAAATGAGTGATACACAATTATTCTCTGTAAAATGAAGCGCATACTGTTGCTTATAAAGTTTTATACAACTCCATGCATTTTTTATTTTATAAGACAGCATTAATTAATCATGTATTTTTAAATGTTTTATAAGGAGATTTTCACCTTGCTAATTTCCTTTAAGAAAAATATATATATCCTTGTACACAGTTTTGGCTAATGTACTCAAGTAGTAAATGATGGGATGTTGGAAAGAAATTTTCAATAAGTAAATTCCCAATGAGAAAAACACTTAAAAACTTTCCTCTCAAAAGTTCAGCAATAAACCACAATTGCAACTGGAATAAAAAATTACTTTGAATAATATCTAATAACTCAAAGACATTACTTTGAAAAGAAAGCTCTTTCATACTTTCTTTTTGTGTGCAGTACTGGGATGGGACCCAGCATCTTGCTGCACATGTCAGGCAAGTACTCTACCACTGAGCTGCATCATCAGCCCACCCTCCTTTTTAAAACTTATGCTTAATCTAAATTCAGTTTGAAAATAGTACTTCCACCATAATGCCCCTGGAAAGAATTGTTTAGTATAGAATCTGTGTGGACAGAAAACATTTTAGAATATGGTTCACCTAACTATTACTTCACTAAATTATATAACATGAACATATAAGTAGAACTAGGTAACATTTCCAACAATACTCTTATTAGACTTTGTTTCTCTTAAATCATATCTGAAAAGCTGTATATCTTTTTTTAAAAAAAAAGTAGAAATTCTTCAAAATAATTCATAAAAATCATATCATGATCAAGAATTTAATATCTTCCTATTTAAGCAAAAGATGGCTTTCAAATCAATTTTAATAAACATGGTATCTGTCCTCCAGAAACACTCAGTTTCCATGAATGATTATGTCCAAGCTCTTTCCCGATATAATCTTAAAATCCATTACAAATCAGTAGTTAGCTTCTTATTATTACTAACATATTTAAACTTTGTCTTTTAAAAAAGTACAAATGGATCTACAAGCAATGATGTATTATCTGAATCTAACAAACGGACAGGCAGGCCTTGAGAGTTGGAGAGGAGGAAAAGGTCAGAAAGAGGACACTGAGATATAGAGACAGTTTTGCTCGGCATTTATAATATACTGTACCTGTGTTTCTATGAACTGTATTTCTACTTTGGTTGGAGACCCTCTACAGCTACTATAGTTGCCCATGGCTTTGTTAGAAGAAAATGAAAGGCTAAAGAGAGAATCTATGTAGGCCTCAGATTATATATTTTAATTTCATTACTTAAGACTATATATTTAATTATTTTTCCTATCTACACTGACTTAAACAGTTTTATTCCTCTAGTATGAGTTATCTTGATTTGGCAACCAAGGCATATAACCTTTTACTGAGAAAAATCATATTATTCTGATTTAGCAGTGAGTGTATTAATTTTGGTATAGTGGGAAGTTATCCTTCTGTGCACAGTAATTAAGCAAAACTCAATATATTTTCATAGCTTACTCAATATAATGTTTTCATTCACCTCAGAATCTTGTTTAAAATGCACAGCATGTACTCTAAAACTTAAACGAGAACAAAAGATTTATTTTCTTCAAACAGGGCAAATTTAAAGGGTAGTTAAAAGTCATTTACTTTCAACTCAACCTAAAACAATAACATTGGCACTGCAGTGACAAAGAGGCTCCAAATTACAAAGGTCAGTTAAGTAAAAGAGGGCAAAGGCAGCAGGACTCAGATACTAAAAATAAAAACAAAAATAGATTCAATGCAGCATTTTGAGAATGAAGATCAATGAAACAATAGTTGCTCAAAATTATATCAGTTATAATGTCATTTCCTACGTTGATATCAAAGATCCTTTCTATTTTAACATTCCTCTTTGCTGGTTCTTGGCATTTGTTTTAATAAATTTCTATATTTTACTTCCATTACCCCAAATAAAATATATTGCCCCAGTTAAAAAATAACTTGGCTATCATGGTAAAAGTGAAAATATATGATAAAAATATAAAGGGATGGCAAGCGAGAAGCAGCAGCATATTTTATTTACTATTGATCCAAGTAATAAGGCAGCAGGTTGTCTTTCCAATCAAAACTACTTTTATAGTTATACAAATGTCCTTGCCTGCTCAATAGCAAAGGTCTTAAAAAGAAACAACTGAGAGGATGAGGTATAGAAAAATTATGATATAAACCATGAATGACTAAAATACAAGTGAATAATATTGTGATTTAATGCTATGATTCTAAGTAGAACAAGTTTATTGCTTATATACATGACAACACAATTAATAAGACAGATATCTAATCAATAATAAAGTAATGGATAATGATGTAAATATTTGTTTAGCTTCATCAATAAAAAAAAATTCAATGCATGAAGATTTTATGAAATCAAGCTAGTAGTAGTTCTACAGATAAAATAACCTGGTAGCTGTTTTCTTACCTGTAAGGACAGCTTTTGCTGAAGGATCTGCCAGGTCCAAAGCTGATTTCCCATCAGTGTTCCGAATGTTTGGATCAGCTCCGTGCTGCAGCAGCACTGTGCAGGGAAAGCAGAAACAATATCTTACCTCGGGGATACAGAGATTATTTACTGGTAAGTGTCGCCTCGGCATGGTGTAGGCATAAACATACATTGCACAAATTTTTTTCTTTTGAGGAAAAAGAAAAGAAAGAAAAAGAGAAAAAAGCACTGCAGCAAAAGATCTTCTCTAGAGTAAAGCGAAGTTGGCAACTTATGGTACAGTATTATCACATGACTTGACATCATAAACATGAAACTAGAAAAATCTTGCAATATACAGTTTTAGTTTGCTTCCTTCGGGCAGCAGTAAGGGAAGCTGTGTGCTCACTGACTCACACTATGAAATATGCTAACTGTGAACCTGCCCTATCTTTACTACCACTGTGGCTGCTTGTTGCTGCTGCTGCTTTACTGCTGGATTTCCAAATGCTTTCTCTTCTCAGAATAGTTATAATACTGTGCAAGGCTTTTAGTGGCTCACCGCTTACATATGAAACTCACCATAACATACTGGCTTGCTTCCAAGAAGTTTAACAGACACAGTAATGCATGCAACTCAGGTACTCTGCAGTCAAGCTACACAAAGAATGGTCTTTTAAAATAATCTTTCCATCAAAAAAAATTTTAAAAAAAACTCAATCTCTATAATAAAACATATACTAAGAAATGTATGTAACACATGCTATACTGGGTTGAAATAAGAGAGAATAACTGTAAAATCCACATGTAAATCTGTTAATCCAATATTTCTAAGCCCCATCTAGTATATGAGTATGTATATGGCAGTAGGGATTACTGCTATTAATACCACTCAAGCAATGATTAAACTAATAAATAGGTTCAGCATCCCTAGTCTAAAATCCAAAATCCAAAATGGTCTAAAATACAAAAAAAAAAAAAGAAAGAAAGAAAAAGTGAGCATCTCTATGATGCTCCAAGTGGAAAATTCCACATCCGACTTTATGTGACAGGTCACAGTCAAAACACAAGTGCACTAAAAATGTTATATAAAATCACTTTCATGTCTGGACCTGGATCACAACCCTAAGATATTTGTGTGTGTGTGTGTGTGCGTGTGCAATACACACACACACACACACACACACACACACACACACAAATATTGCATATATATATACAAATCTTCTAAAAATCAAAAAACTCTGAAATCTGAAACATTTCTGATCCCCAGGATAATTACAATTCAATTACAGCTTTTGAGTCACCTCCATTGACAAGACCCAAATTTTCATCTAGATCTTGGGTTGTTTTAGATATTAAAATCAGCCATGGCTTGAGAAGATACAGAGAAATCTTATGAAGATATTCTACAGTAGTCTCAACTTATCTGCAGCTTTGATTTCTGTGGTTTGAGTTACTGGCAGTCAACTACAGTCAGAAATATTAGACAATTTCAAAAATAAACAATTCACGGGTGTTAAACTGTGTGCCAGGAACAGTATGATAAAATTTTACACTGTCCTTTTTCATCTATGTGGGATGAATCATGCCTCTGAACTGCATATCCATGCTGTATACACTACTTACCCATTAGTCACTTGGCAGTCATCTTGGTTATCAGATCAATTTTCATGGTACTACAAACGCTTATGTTCAAGTAACCCTCATTAATGGTCCCAAGAGTAGAGATGCTGGTAAATGGGACATGCTAAAGAGAAGCTATAAAATGCTTCAAGTAAAAAGGGGGAAATTTTCAATATAGAAAAAATTTGAATGCTGAGGCTACTAAACTCTGTAAGAACAAATCTTTTAAACTGTGAAAATGAAAAAAGAAGTTAGTCTGTCCCATCACTAAACACAAGTTAGAAAACCACATTCATGATAATTTTTGTTACAATATATTACAATAACTGTTCTATTTCTATTATTAGTTATTACTGTTTATCACTTACTGTGGCTAGTTTATAAAGTAAACACTGTATGTATAGGAAAGACCACAGTAAATATATATATGATCCAGCACTATCTGTGGTTTCAGGCATCTACTATGGGTCTTGGAATGTATTCCTCACAGATAAGGGGGATTCCTGTATATTATCCACTTTTTCTGGGGGGGGGGGGGGGTGCTGAGGATTGAACCCAGAGCTTCGCTAAACACAATTCTACCACTGAGCTCTTATTATTTCATTCTTGAACATAAGCAACAAACATAATTAGTTTTCAGATGTTTAACGTTAAGTATTTTCTAGAGATAAGACTTAAGTGGAATAAAATAGCAAGTACCAAAATATCAAACTGTAGTTACTTTTTCATCATAATGATTAGAACTTTTGCAGGAATAATACTTCTTTTATTCTAGGAAGAAACTAATGTGAAGATTTGGTTTGTGACAGGTTTTATCATAAAGAATCAAAAGGGAGCTGATATCAACCTCATAACCTTACATAGCTACTGAGTGAGCAAATGTAATAGAAAATAAAAGAATGATAGCTATCATGAAAAGTAGAGTTTTTTGTTGCATCTTCAGAAACTTTCAAAACCTACTTTTAAACAAACAACATAAGAACATTTTTATTTAAGTGTTTAACAATTATAAGATGGGAACTTTTATAATGCAGCTTTTAATGGGTAGCAGAAGCAAAATATTGAAAGCCTAAAAGACTACTCCTCCAAAAGTCAACTAAAACTCAATCCTTCCAGCTATAATCAGTATTTTACCTATTCCTATTTTGCAAGAGATATGCCATTACAATTTAATTGCAGTTTTATTTTACGTGACTTTAAAAGGAGTAATCTTTTTGAAATAATGTGTTTTCTGAACATTTTGAGGTCACATCTCCATCACTGAACCTAAACACTTAGATACATCTACTGCAGAATAATGTAGACACAGGAAAGCAGCAGCTGAAATTTCTGAACCACATGCTAATAAAAAAAATCCATGTTAAAAATATTTACCCTTCAGTAGGTGAATGGGCAAAAAAAAATGTGGCATATATACACAATGGAATATTACTCAGCAATAAAAGAGAATAAAATCATGGCATCTGCAGATAAATAGATGGAGCTGGAGAAGATAATACTAAGTGAAGTTAGCCAATCCCAAAAAAAAAAATGTCAAATGTTTTTCTGATATAAAGTGACTGACTCATAGTAGGGTAGGGGGAGCATGGGAGAAATAGATGAACTCTAGATAGGGCAGAGGGGTGGGACGGGAAGAGAAGGGGCAGGGGATCAGCAATGATAGTGGACATGATTATCCAAAATGCATGTATGAAGACATGAATTGGTGTGAACATACTTTATATACAACCAGAGGTATGAAAAATCACACTCTAGGGCTGGGGATGTGGCTCAAGTGGTAGCGTGCCCGCCTGGCATGCGTGCTGCCCAGGTTCGATCCTCAGCACCACATACAAACAAAGATGTTGTGTCTGCCAAAAACTGAAAAATAAATATTGAAATTCTCATTCTCTCTCTCTCTCTTTAAAAGAAAAATCACACTCTATATGTGTGATTTTTGTATGAATTGTAATGCATTCCGTTGTCATTTATTTTTAAAAAATCAATGAAAAATGAAAAAAAATTGATATTTTTAATTCACAAAGTATAGGTTAAAAAAACAAAACTTAGGCCTGGTGCAGTGGTCCATTCCTGTAATCCTAGCAATTTGGGAGGCTGAGGCAGGAGGATCACAAGTTCAAGGACAACCTCAGCAACTTAGTGAAGCCCTGTCCCAAAATAAATATTGAAAAGGGCTGAGGATTTAGCTCAGTGGTAAAGTCCCCGAGATTCAATCCCTAGTTTTTTTTTAAAAAATGTATATATAATTTATTATTATGTATATATATTATATATACATATACATTGTTATATATATACATAAATATGTGTGTGTATATATATAAAACTTAATAAAAAACAAAACTTAAAAAAGAGTTTTAAGAGAAATACAGGTATCTGCAATTACACCAGCAGGGATCTAAACTTATCTTAAACTTTCATAAAAAGCCACAAGATAGCTGGGAGGAATAAATCAGAACCATAAAGTGGTATGCAAAGGGGTTGAGTTTAAAGTCTAGCAATACCTATTAGCTACTAATATTTTACATTTGAAGCACATTTAAAAATGCAGACACTATTTGTACTCTCAACTCTAGAAATATCTTCTAATTACATGCTTTGTTCTAAAGGTAGCAGTCAGCAAATTTTTCTATTACAGAGACAGACAGTAAATATTTTAGGCTTTGTAGACTATATAGTTTATCACAACTACTTATCCTTACACTTCAACTCTACTTACCATTATAGTGCAAAAGCAGCCACAGATAATACTTAGAATTAGCTGTACAATCTTCCTTAATGGTAATAAAATTTAAATTTTATATAATTTTCATGTGTCCCCAAATATTATTTTTGATTTAAAAAAAAACATTTTCAAATATAAAAACAATTCTTAGCCACAGTAAAGCACAGGGTGGGATGGGTCTGGCCTATGAGCCAGAATGTATTGACCCCTGACCTTGGGCAGTGCTACATGGTGTGGTCTATGGACTGTGTGTATTCCCAGAACTGTTTGTAACCCATCTACATCAACATAATAAGCACAGAATTTGAGGGTCAACATTTAGAAATTTAGAATAAGCATTTCTAAACTAGTTTTTACATTTTTACCTGTATTGTATTTACATTTTAAAAAATGGGTCTATCATACATTGGGGGGAAAAACCCCTCGTCTTCTGTCACAAACAATTTGAGAACTGAGTCAGGTGACACATAAAATTCTCTGGAACTTTACTTCCCAGACCTCTCAAGTAAAGGAGTCAGACTAGATAGGTGAATTCTAGATGTCTAAGGTGAGGCCTGATAATGTTTTTAGAATTACAGCCAAAGACCTGAAAAAAATCAAGATCTAAAATCTTTAAAAAACAAAAATTTTTTTTTCCTTTTTCCTAACACTTTTACCAAAAGACAACAAAACTAAAGTTGAGTTTATAACCACTGAAAATTGTCAGGTACTGACTAACGTGTCCCAAACTACTCCCTAAGCAAGT